CTTCTTCAGGCGTCGAAAAAAGTTGACCTCTCAGTATGTTTTTCACGTGCGGAAATAAAAAGAAGTCATTCGGTGCCAAGTCAGGACTATATGGCAGATGACTCATCAAATCGATGGTTTGGGTACTCAAAAATGCAGTTGTTTGAGCTCGCATTGTCGTGGTGAAGAGTGATCCGTTTTTTGGCGGTCGGTTTTCCTGATTTCTTGGAAAACAACTGGCTAACAAATGGTTGTGTACCACTCAGAATTGGTTGTTCTGCGTTGTTCTAGTGGTACGGTTGCGACATGTCCAGTTTTTCCGAAAAAACAGGCGATCATTTGCTTGGAAGTGCTTCGTGCGCGAACAACTTCTGTTGGATTTTTCTTATATTGAAACACCCATACAGTCGACTGCTGTTTACTTTCGGGCTCATACGCGTAAATCCACGATTCATCACCTGTTACGATGTCATGGACATGTTTCGAAGCACCGCGATCGTATTTTTTTAGCATTTCCTTCGACCAATCGACACGAGCCTTTGACAAATTGTGTGGGATCCAACGCGAACAAATTTTTTTTACAGTCAAATGTTTATGCAATATTGAATGTATGCTAGTCCCGCTAATGCCTAAGGTTGCCTCATTCTCACGATAGGTCAAATGACGATCTTGCAATATCAGTTCACGCACATCATCAATGGTTTTCGGAACAACAACTGATTTTGGACGACCTTCACGAAATTCGTCTTGGAGTAAACTGCGACCACGATTCAATTCATCATATCATCGATAAACACTGGTACTTGATGGAGCTTCATCGCCAAAAATTGAATTCATCCATGCACTGTTGCTGAGTTAATCCACGTCGAAAGTTAAAAAAAATAATCGCACGAAAATGTTCACGATTTAATTCCATTTTTGGGAAGAGATGAATCTTTTAAGTTACTTTAAACATCACAAATAGCGCGCGTATGTCAAAACATTCTGAGTACGTATAGCTCAAAAATATCCAACTTTACGATAGAGCTGTCAGTTGCCAGATTGCAACACTAGGGTTTCCAAATCCCGAAATACAAAAGGCAACCTATCGTATGTGGAAGCCACTATATGCAAAATACTGAGCCATCAATACAATTAAATTCGATACTTTTTTTACAATGAATATCAGTCAAATTCTTATAAAAATTGATACAATTGTCGTTTTGAATATTCAATATAGATAAACTTTGCGCTTTACACTGAGTAATTTCGACAAATCGTTTAAAAGTTATCACGATAAGATCAACTTGACGCAACGCAGTGAGCCATTACGCGCCACGTCTACTGTAAGACGACGCGACGGGCGTCGATGCGCAGGGGAAGATGGGCGGTCTGAGCAGTGAAGGGCCATCGCCGAGAACGTGACCCGAACGCGGGCAGACGCGTGAGGGCAGACGTCGTTGACGCTTGTGTTGGTTTTGCGAATTTCTTTATAGGTAACATAATTCGATTCTCTAAGCTATTCATTACTTAGTGCAGTTGGCATATTCTTTTAGTTACTGTATTTTCAAAGTAAAAATATAAATTACTAGCTGTTGCCCGCTCTGTTTGTAAGTAAGTACATGTACATGTAAGTAAGTACGTTAATGTATAAGTTTGAAAATGTCCTTATAAGATGAAACTGCAGTAACGTTAGTTACAAATAAAAGTGGTAAAAAACATAGAAATTTTCAATTCTCTTTTCTTCATTATGATTTCCTACCACATAGTAACGGCTGCATCCATCAATTGAATATAGCTATTTGTATAACAAGGGAGAATAATTAGGGCCATTCCCCAGTGAAGCATTGATTACAAACGTTCTCTGAATATTTGTTTTAGAATTTGGTATATTTACTATTAATATTGAACCTTCATCTTCAATATCTGTGGTGGCCATTTTAAGGAGCTCGTCACACCTGCATGCTCCTGAAATTCCGAAAATGAGGAGAACCTACAAAACAAAGAAAAATAATTTAAAAAAAAAAGAAAAAAAACTGTCGACGCTGGAATTCGAACCAAAAACTACAAGGCCGTCAAGAATAAATTATTCATGACTGATTATTCAGAATAATGAGCGGTGCACCAACTCACTGCGCTACTGAGCCTAATGAACTAATTATGCGGAATCATAAACATAGCGTAAAACTTTAGCTCTATTATAATATTCAACTTTTATTTTTTAAATATATTTACTTCTCGAAAATATCTTACCTTCATTAATAAATAATTATTATCGGGGGCTTCTAATGAAAATTTATTTAGTTCCTCTCTTGAGAAGGTTTTTGCCTTATTAGGTTTATATCCTTGGTTTTGCCTTTTCAAGAAAGCAATTAATTTTGGGTATTTAATATCCATATTTTCTTTTATTTGAAGCATGGTACGTAGCATCGAATACTTGGACCACAATGTAGAGGCTTTTAGTGTATTTGCTAATATCGAAAAATATCCCAACATAACATTTTCTGAGTAAATACGAATATGCTTTTCTTCGGCCCATCGCTTGAAATGTAAATATTGTTTTTCGTATTTATCTTTAGATTTTTGGGGCAATAAAGATTGTACCGTTACATTAACTTGTTCCAAAATATCCGGTGGTGTATTATTTATATCTTCAAAATCGCTTGAATCACTCATTTTTAAAATATTCTTAATATTTTACAGATATACCTATTATGTATGGTGAATCACACTTTGAAACTGTCAAACGACCATAGCATGCTATAAAATTTGTCATAAATTCGAAAACCGGATGGATCTATGAATNGAAAATACACACAATGCATTATTGAATTACGATTTTCAATGTCACGAAATAAGCTTGATCTGCTTATGTCATCGATGACATCGTAATGACATTCATTAACCTATATGATTCAATCCCAGCCAAGAGGAATCTTATTTGAATTGAAGGGGTTATATTTTCAGGAGTGAATAATTTTTGGAAAAGAAAGTTTTTGGCTTTCTACTACTCCATCTTGATTATTTTATTCAATAGAAAAAAATATGAACTGAAATGTCAATAAATTAAATAAAATACTGAAAAATCTACATGTTCTATTTCACAGTCAAAAAAAGAATATACATTTCAAATGTAATGAACAAGGTTGATTATCACAAAAACAAGCCATGAAGAAACGAATACTCACAAAAAACTTTTGAAACGCTTCTCTAAAAATGTTTCCGCGAATGCCAAACTTATTAATTATTTGTGTAACTCTTACATTTTGGCTTGGAACACTGTAGACATACTGACTTTCTACAGTTCACACATAAATATTATGTCATTCGGTGGGTAGTTTTGTGACATGAAAAACGAAATATTCTATTTCAGTTGAACTCAAAACTCATCGCCTAGTTATTGAAGAATTTGTGTTTTGTACGGGTGAAACTTATGTAATTTCAACACCTTTCTAACCGACTCATGTGAAAGTCCTGTCACTGCAGATACTTGACGTGTTGATGCAGTAGGACCTCAATTTGGGTTGCTTCATTCAGTAATCTTGGGGCATTTATTTTTTTATTTTGCACTGATCCCGTTTCTCTAATTTCACAAACTACACCTAAACGATTTGATCTCCACAGACTTTATTAAAAAAATATATCACAACATGTTTCGCAAAACATAGCTTTTTCAAGTGATTAATCCGTTTCTCTAACTTTTCAACTAAATCGCGGACGTACACGTGACTTACATTTTTGTCCGGATGCCTTTCATGACACTGCGGTTCTGGGAGGCAAATATGAAAATTATCTCCACGCGCTCAGGTATACTGCAAACCATCATGACAACTACAGCTTATGGAACGCCGTTTTACTTTTTATTTTCAAAAATATTCATTCCTCAATTTATTCACCTAAATGACACTTGATTTAAAATGTTACATGAATACAATTGTTATATGAATAAAAAAGACCAATGAATATATATATANGGAATATTGATAAAAAGTGAAACGGCGTGGCACGCTGTTTTACTTTCTCTTCGTATTTTGTGAAAATGAATTGTTTTGATTGTTGCATTTAGGTGATACATGAATTAAATTGATTGTTGATAATTTTTATTCATCGCTGCGGTCGAACGGATTATTACCGTACTATGACAAATGACATACATATTATATGCAGTTATGTAGTTCCGCAAAAATACGCCTGACGTCAGCGCCGAATAAAAATTATCAACAAACAATTTAATTCATGTATCACTGAAATTCAACAAACACAATAATCCGGCTCATTTCAAAGAAATATTAATAAAAAGTAAAACGGCGTGGCACGCCGTGGCACAAGTAGGGGTTTGCAATTTAAACTTTTTGTATTTTGGTGGGTGGGGCCTAGGGGGTTGATGGGGGTGAGTTCTCTGTCATGTCACTTCAGTTCCCCCTTACTATCCTAAAAATGATTTTAAGGATTTTCTGATATCAGCTTTCGTTCGTGAGATATAGCCCATTGTAAGTTTTAAAATTGTATATTTGTTATAATCTCCATAAACACTATCGATTCACTGTATCTAAAATTAGTGGACACTATTTTTTGACTTGTTTGTATGTGTTCCCAAGCTGCTGAGGAAATAAATAACGTAAAGACTATTATTGATCAGAAATATTAATGAAAACCCTCTCTCAGTAATCATGCTCTACGAAATAATTCACATCGTAAATAAGGTTCATTTGTGACTGATATATAGGTTAGAAAAAGTTTTAGTCCAACTTTCCTATAAAATTTCAACGTGGAATCTATAAAATAATATTAGGTTTCTTTCAAAAAATTTGCAAAATAATGTTTTGAACAATGAATCATCTATTATTTCAGTAGAATGATATATATTGGGGAAACCAATATATTTCATTTCATAAAACGCTTCTACTCTATACGGTGCCCAGTATATTCTTAAGAAGTTTCCCACATTTTTTGTTCAACAAAGGGGATTATGAATGGACTGATCCGTTAGGTACTTGATGAAAATTAATAACACAATCCGAAATAATGATCAAAAAATTTTCACAGATTGTTTAATTATTATCATGGATAATAATGGAGAAGTAGGAAGCAACAAATTTTTCCGTTTACTACCCAATATTTCTCGAGTACTGTAGGATGTTCCATTAGTGATAGTTCACAACTAAGGAAGAAAATTGACCAGACAATTTTGCATTATTTTAATTTTTTAATCCATTCGAGAAACGTGAAAAATTATTGTCGTGAAATTCTAGCTCCAACTTTATTGCGAATGCACTGGCTCAGAGCATTTGCAGCTTCACCAGCTGTACCACCATGTCTGTCTCCACATTCATTCACAATTTCGTTAATATGATCAGCGGTCAATTCAGTATTTTTCCCGAGATTTGTCCTCAAGGCCTCCTTGTCAATGTCTCCGTTTTCTTTCTGTAGACCCAGTTTGACGGTCATGCAAAGGGAAATGGGTTCAAGAGCATTTGGTTGTATACATTCTTCGTTTAGTTTTCGATAATTTATTTTGGCAGCATTGGCCTGAAAATGAAAAAAATACAAAAATATTCATTTGCAACCTGAAAGAAAAAGAGAGTTTTCAGCTTGTTTGCGTTTTCATTAGATATGGAATAACGAAAAGAGTTAGAAAGTTTTATTGTGAAGAAACATGATGATGATACATCGTGGATAAATTGTTGCATTTTGCATAGGTTATTTATCAAAAACTTGCATCCAAAGCATGATGATATTAGCGGTTGATTGTATATAGTAAAAATTTGATTGACCCCACCATTTCATTTTAGTCTTATCAAAACTCTAGTTATTTATTCAATCTGTTACCAAATTTTGTTGTTCAAGTGCTTCTGATCAATTACGTTTATGCATTTCAATCATATGAGGTATTGACTATCTGATTTGGTCGTAGAAAGAAAGTTAATGAACAGCAAAAATATTATTTAGCAAAAAAATATGTATATTTGAAAACTTATATTTGGATATCGTTTCAGCAAATATAGCCTACCAGTTTTCACTATTTTTTTTTAATTTTAAGGTNGCCAGTCTGATTAGAAACACGCTCCACTCTACTTGATATTCCGATATATTCAACAAATTGTTAGAAAATTACTAATGCCAAAATCAAAATTGTTAATATATCAATGTTAGTAGTGAAACAAATTCTATATATACCTCGGCTGAGAAAGCTATTATTTACCTCGCACTTTATATAAAAATGCTCGGTAAATAATAGCTCACTTCTCACCCTAGGTATATAATGTACTATTATATCATATAATTCCTTCCATACACTGATATTCATTATGAACAATTTGCCTGGGGCCACAATTCAATTTACTAGAAATGAACTTCATTTGAATCGTAGTAGGACTTTTGGTTTAAAAAATATATCATCCCATTTCACGTCATCAACTGATACATCCCTATTAATACAAGAAACTGTAGGTTTCGGAGTAATCATTCCAATTCAATAAATTGAAGTGAAAACATTTGAACATTAGAAAATAACTGTAAATTTTACCATGATCAAGAATGTAGCACCGAACACAAAAACAAAGCAGACCTTCATGATTGAAGTGACGATATATTTAAAGAATCAAAAATTTTTGTTCTTAAAGTATTATGGATAGGGGGTTATCTGATAGGGTCATATTTTGACGCAATAAACATTCATTGAAACGATTCAACGGAATTCTGAAAATAATATTCTTGATTTTCAACTGACAAAGTTTGGTCAGGGTCATAATCGTGAATAAATAAAATAGATACTTTCGTCTGATAACAAATAAACTGGGCTTCTTAAAATACTATCAACTCAGTCAATGACCAAAAATTGAGTGTAAGCAGCTGTAATTGATTTTTATATACATAATTTCTGATTGGCAGATCAAGATCTTCAGATGATGTGTTGTTGCAGGTTTTTTCGGGATTTCCTGCAGCTGAAAAAGCAAATGTGCCACTGGAATCCATCAAGTCGCCCCGGAGCGCCGATTAATTTTTGTTGTAGTTGTTTCATAATTTCATAATTTGTATTACTTTATATTTAAATATATCCAAAAAATTTGAAAAAAAATTGTTACCTTGAGTTACATTATTATAGTTTTTGGGAAATTCAATACAGCCATCTCCACCAGCTCTACTCTCTAATTTGAAGATCATGCCGGCTTGCCGCACTAAGGCTGAAATCTTAGCCGAATTATTGCATAAGGTTGTTATTTTTGGCTCACTGCCCTTGCTCAGGGCATATGATTCACATACCCAATGATCACTTACCCCACGGTGGGGAGTTTTCATTGGTTGATAATGCGGCGCGCCCTCCCGATGCTTCGATGCTTCGAAGATAGGGCCTGATCAGCGCAACCTCAAAGAAAATAATAATAATGGATCACACCCAATCACAGAAAATACAGAAATGCATGATTTTCTACAACTGAAGAAACTGAACAAATTGATCCTGAAATCAATATACATGTAATAAGCATATTCAATATATGTATTTATAACAAAATTAATAACACTCATAATAGTCTAAGAACTAGCAATGTTTTCGAGATTTTGTTTTTTATAAAGCTGGTTCTTTAACATATTTATTCTCTATGTTCCCTCAAACAGCGTATCGGCTACCTGGCTGCTGGTAGAGACTGAGTTCAAAAAATTAACTCTATATAAAGATGTGTAGATCATGCAAAGAAGTAACTTTCAGACACAAACTGGACGAAAAAACCCTGTCGAAACAGCTATTTTCATATAAACATTGAATTATACGAAAGAAAAATAGTTCCGAAACAAATACTTTTATATGAACGCTAAATTATACGAAAAACACTTTCCTCTAATCCGTCTGTATTCCAGACGTTCGTATGAAATCGAATCAGATATCATTCATAGGATTTCTACACAATATAATAAATGAAAGAAGTAAAATTTCACTTACATGAAACACTGTCTCACTGCTAGACATCCGATGTTTCGCCTTGAGACATTTGCCCTATCGGTTTTTCAGTAGCAAATACGGAAAACATAAGAAAAAACACTTGATTCGTTCATAATTACGACTTTTTGTCGCGGCATGGGCTGAATCCTCCCAAGTCATCGATGACAGTACGTAAATAACATTCATTCGCTCATTTGATGGAATCCCAGCCATAGGAATCGTGTTTAAAATTGAAAGGAGATATTGATTTTTTGGAAAGGAAGTTTATGGCATTTTACTTCTTCATCTTCGTACAAAAAATGTGGGAATCTTTCAAAGAAAAGAAGGAAGCAATCAATTTCAAAAAATTAACTCTATATAATGATGTGTCGATCATGCAAAGAAGTAACTTTTAGACACAAACTGGAAGAAAGAGCCCCCTCGAAATAGCTATTTTTATATGAACACTAAATTATACGAAAAACACTTTTCTCTCCTCACTGCCGATGTTTCGCCGTAAGACACTTGCTTTATCGGCTCTTCACTAGCAAATACGGATAACATTATAAAAATAAAAACTCAATTGGTTGAAAAAATTAATGTCTCCTAAAATACCCTTTCAATTTTAATCATAAAAATGTTAGTGGCAAAATGAGAAATAGAAAAAGTTACATAATTATTGAAATTTTATTTTGTTACACTACTGCTACTACTGTACAATGAAAATACTACGGACAAAGTTGATGGCGATGATGATAATAATCATAATGATCAGAGCAGTGACGATGATGACGACTATGGAGATGAGTCACTCTTCTGCTGTTAACTGAACAAACGAATTAACGTCTGGCATATTAATTTTGCACCTATTTTGCACCATTATATAATGATATTGAAATTACATTCCAAAATAATTTGAAATTAATTTTGTTTATCGATGAAAATTAGCAACTGGCATCTAATTGTCAACAAACAGAAATGTCTGGCAATAAAATTCAATATTTTTACCTATATAGGTGTGCTGCACAGCAATGAAGACAATCTCTACCAGCAGCCAGGAAGCCGGCACACTGTTTGACGGAGCATAGAAAATAATATATAAAAGATTTCATACTACTAATGTTTAAATTGAAACCATGTGTTTTTGATGAAATTGCGTAACGCTTATCAGTGAGTCATTGTGAATTCTATACTGCAAATTGATTTCGTTCACTGGACTACACATGTTGAATATTGGAGGTCTAATGAGTGAATTATCACTTGGAATATTGTGAAATATGATTTCTTTTCGTGGCTGTGAACGAGTTACTTACTCTAAAGAGAATTTGATCCAAATTTTCTAGACAATATTTCAATGTTAAAAACTTTATAATGGAATATTATAGCCGACAGGTTTCGACATAATTCTGAAGAGTCGTATGGATACATGTTTAGTAATATATTGTTCTCTGTCAACTGTCAACTACGAACTTCCTTATAAAGTAATGTTCCCGAGTAGAGAGGATTGAATCCTCAGGGAGAAGGAAATATTAAGATCAGATAGTTGTTTGTTTACAGATGGATCAAAAACACCTTCCGGTTCTGGTGCAGGTGTTTTCAGTCGCAGACCCAGGACAGAGATATCAACCTGCCTAGGAACCTATGCGACTGTATTTCAAGCGGAAATTTACGCTATTGAATTGTGTGCGGAGAGATTGGAAGAATCCAACCTCATACACAAGTCAANAACTTTGAAAATTATTTTACTCTTCATAAAAATTGACCGTGGTTAACACCATAGTTCTGTAATTCATAATACCGTGGTATACAGAATGTTGTCTATTTATCGTTTTAGCACATTTTTTTTTCGTAGTGCCCATTAAAAAAATGGTAAAAAAATAAAACTTCACTTAGATGGCCATGACTTCAAATCTGGATGTTTTTTCCAATGCTGAACAACTTTTTCAAATAACATTTTCCAATATTTTTCAAAATAAGAGTACTTTACTCTTGACTCAAAATCGAATATTTGAAGGCTCCTCGTAGATTACGTGTATTTTACTGCATTTTGTTGGTGCATGTTCAGTTTTATGGGATGCACAAACTTTCATCAGGAATAAAATTTTGTTGAAAAACCCTCAATAAAGAAGTTTCACATATGGTGCATACTTTGGGGATGACAGTGTATTGTACTCAATGATTTTTGAGTGCAATTACAATTGCAGTTAAAAAACAAAACATTCAAAAATTTTCGTTGAATATATTCTATAATTTTTTGTGTACTGGTAACAAGGCGAGCAAACAAAGCCAGCATAAGTACTCTAATTTTTCCCTTGCTGAACAGGATGATTAGCATGTTGGCATTTGCAAAATAGGAACTCAGTATCCCTCTTTGATATATAATAATCTTTCCAAGACATTATCATTGATGTTACAAGCACATTCTATAACGTTCTGTTTTCTAGAAAATGGCAGGTTTTTACATTTGGCAATATTGACAGATGTGTAAACGGTATTTTGTATACCATTTGGTTGCCGAATCAAATTAGTTCTGTCTCTAAGTTATGGTAGTCGTTCAAATAATTTATGTGGCTATAGATTTTTAGGTCTTCAGCAAAAGAATATGATTGCATTTCAACGAATGAAATGAATACAAATTAGAAATAATAGTACTTCCAGGTTGGACACTAGGGCAGTAACGGATATAGAGGGGGATACAGGGGCACATGTCCCCCACCAGAGGATTGAAAGTACACTAGATATTATTTGGTGGCATTTTGGGACATAAGCTCAGGTCATTTTATCATTACAAACTTATGTACACATAAAACATCAATTGGCTAAGTGAAACATACTCTTGAGGGGGCACAGATACGATAGTATCATTGAGACAACTAGGAGCTATTTTAGCTGCTACAAGCTTCGCAGCTTGTAACACCTACAGTACAATGCACACAGGAAAAACGAGACAACAGCTCTGACACCTTCAAAGAGCTTTATAACCAGGCGGCTAATTTGATGCAATAAATGGTCAAAGTAATACAAATGCATAGGACAACAGCTCGACGAAACACCGATCTAATGTACAAACGGCAAGGTTCCCCAAAAAGGAGATGTAATGTTTCGGCAAGCTGCAACTCCCGATAAAAATGATGCTTACATTAGTGACATTCTTCAACTGTCTTAGCTTTGCGTCGTTCAAAAACATATCTCCGCAATTCAATGACTGAAGAGAATTTAAATGGTTTGGCTTTACTGCACATACACCAAGATATTTCCAATACAATGAAAGCTGAAGAAGTCTTGGACGTACCTATACATCAGGAAGCACAAGAAAAAATTATCTCTGAAGATGTTAGAAAAAATTTACATAGGTATCAAAAAATATTATGTTTGTATTATAAAATATTATTATGTTCGACCATTAATAAATTGAATTACTAAAAAGTAATCATACTCTACTTCTTAGTTCATTATGCTTGTACCTGAACAGGTTTTTACTCAACGGTAATNTGAAACATTGTGAGAAACATTCATTAATCACTCTGGAGAATTCTGAAATATTGTTGAAACACGAGCACTATGTATTTTTCAAATCAGTTCTTATCTGAACACAAACACTTTGTAGAAATAAAACTCAATTTGAATTATAGAACCTAAAACTTGAATTTCCGACAGATTTTGAAATCATGTAAAATAGGAATCACACTTTAAAAGGTAAGACCTCGTTAATCCT